AAATGTATTTCCAAGGGGTTAAGATGCAACCTGTGAAGCTGTTCCAGCCTCTGCAGCACCAGTTCAATTCCCCCCGCGCCAGCCAGGGAGCAACCCACATGTTGCAGCAGACCTCTCCTGACTTGCCTGTTGCTCCCCTCAGTAGTGTGTTGCAGTCAATCTGCCTGTTCTGCTCCGCACTTGGTCTCTGGTGAATCCTCTCACCCCCCAACATCTGGCCTGTACCCCAGCTCTTGTATTCATAAATAAATAAATGTTAGTTAAAAAAAAAACTTAAAAAAAAAACACTTAAAAATGTATTTCCCAACTCCACGGACATTTCACTCTACTTATTGCAGCACTAGATCTGAGTGTTACAATTAAATGTGTTTAAACTAAGATTATCAGAAAAAAAATTTCTATTTGTTATAAATAAGCATCAAAGTACATTCATTTGTCTGCTATGGCATGAGATAGCAAAGTTTGAGATTAGTGTTTCTGATCAGAGAGAGGAGAAAAGAGGAAGGAAAGATATTAGCGAAGTATAATAGGAAAAAGTAACTCAAGAAAGAAATCCCAGAACTGTAACCTACTTGTGCCTTTTCAGCCATTTGCCTTGAGTCTAAAAGTACATGAATAGTTGCACATTTTTATTTGTGGGAATTGGGACACAGATATGGCTCTTGTTCTTGAGGTTGTTGTGTGTGATCAAGTCAATCCATCTAACAACGCTCATCTTTCTCTCTGTTGCATTCCTGGAAACCCTCATCAATGCCCAAGGAGATCTTCTAAATGCTTTAATTTATCTTAATATGTCTTTTTTTTTTTTTTTTCTTGTGGGACCCTCGCCGGCGGCGGGGGAACGAACCAGCGTTGCAGAGGCTGCGGGCAGACTCACAGCCCAGTGCTCAACCGCTGTACCACCAGGGGAGGCCCTTAATATGTCTTATTGGAAGTGGAATAGAATAGTCATTAAAAGTGGACTTGACTGGGTTACAAAATCGCCTAGTTCAAATCTGTTTTCCAATACTTACTACTTACTAGCTCTGTAACTGGGGCAAGGGTTTCTTCACATCTATTCCTCGTTCCCTTATCTGAGAGATAAATATAATAATTCTAAATTCAAAAGGTTATTATAATGATCAAATTATTTTGTGTATGGAACAGTGTCTAGTATGTAGAAACTGCTAAATTTGTTGATGATTATTATGAAACAAAATATATGCTCTCACTAATGTTATCTGTTTTTTTTTTTTAAAGATTTATTTATGCATACAAGAACTGGGGTACAGGCCAGAGGCATGGGGGGTGGAGGACACACCAGAGACAGAGTGGGGAACAGAATAGGCAGATTGACTGAAATACACTGCTGAAGGGAGCAGCTGGCAAGTCAGGAGAGGTCTGCTGTACCATGTGGGTTGCTCCCTGGCCAGGAATTGCACTCATGCTGCAGTGGCTGAGGATTGCTTCATGGGTTGTGTCTTAACCCCTTGCACCACCAGGGAGGCCCACATTAATGTTATATGTTAAGTGAACCATTATGATATGTAAATATATCAAAGAAAAACATCAATATATAAAATTACCAAAGAACAAAGGTTTAAAGGAAGATTTTTGGTCTTGAAAAGGGAATACTATTATGTTATCAAAGATTTAGGGCTCACCAAATACAAAGTTTATAATTAAACTTCTGGTTTTGATTTTAATTATAGCATAACATATCTGTAAAAGACAAAATAAGCCAATGAAACTGTCTGATATGTCCTATTATTAAACCAGGTCCTCAGTTAGATGAGCTGTTACTGGTCACAAGCATTATCTTATTTCTTATGCTAATAAAAAGAGAAAAAAAGAAGCAGTGGATGCCAGAAAGGAGTGACTTGGGGAGAGAAATGAGAGTCAAGGTTGAGGCATTGTCAAAAATAGCTGGAATGTTTATATTGCACCAAAAAAAAAGTTTCATAGGTAACCCTTTTACTTACTTGCCTAATTAAATTTTCCATGACATCAACATCACTAGGTTATTGCAGACTTTCCCATTATATTTTTTAACCTACAATTTAATGATTAATCGGCAGACTCTGTGCTACAACTTGATCTGCACTCTTTTTTAGAGAAATAGATTGTTATTGCAAGCACTAATTATTACAGATTTCTGGCTTCTGGTTTCATTAAAATATTTACAGAGTCTACCTCTCCTCTCGTCTGGGTTGTCTTTCTCTATAGGATCCAACCGCAATAATTTAAGACACAATTTGCTGACAGTAGATCCTGAGAACCCATTATGAAAATGAAGGTGGCAAACAACCTTTGAATGCATTTCCCAATTTAAAAAGCCTTCATTACATAGCACATTTCAGGCTGAGGAGTGTTAAAATTTATCATAGTTTCAGTAATTGTAGCTTCCTTTAGAAGCTTGGCATGATATGGAATCATTTATAAAATGTGTATTTTGTTTGGCACTCAGTAGGAAGCTTGCCAGGCAATACATTTAATTAGAAAGGTGAGGAAGAGAGTAATTGCGGTCTATCATAACATATTAATGTTACTTTTAAGTTCTACATGTTTTTAAGATAGTGGTCTTTTAACATGATAGATATTTAAAGCTAGGAATAATTTTCCTTTTATCAGCCCCAGGTTTTTATATGGGGGAATATATTATATTGAGGGGAAGAGTACATTAGCTCTGTTCCTTATATGTAACTCTTTGTCTATTGTTTAAGCTAAGAAAGTTTAGCTGATCTCCTTAGAAACAACCTTTACCCATTGTTTAAGACCTTGAAATTGATGCATTGCCTTTTGGGAACTTAGACAGCTTTATTTAAGTTCAACTTTCTCTGGAGATGCATGGAAATAATGAAATGCAATGCCTTTCTTGAACATAACCGTACACATAATATCTAGCCTTGCCTCATGCATAAGGTAAATTTGATAAAAGCAACTCAAACATTATTGTGATTAATGTTGATTTTTAAACAAATTATAAAGCAACCTGTGTCAGCAGATTCAAAGTAGAGATGTATGATGACAACCATCTTCTGTGATCAGATTTTCATTGTGTTAAACATGCTGTTCCGGTTTAATAGGGAAACTTGCCTGTCGTGAATTTGAGAAACACCACGGAAAAATGAAATGAAAAGGCTTTTGGGGGACAGAGGCATACACATTTTAGTGTTTTGTCTTTCAGGTATAGAATATTTGATCATATAGTTTTGCATAAATACCCTCTGTCTTTTATTACTTTGCGGTGATATCTCCTTAGTGAACAGATTTTCCTCCAATAACAAATTTTACCAGATTCACATTGGGGTATCTAACCTCAAAAGCAGCTAAGGGTGTAAATAAAACATAGACAAAGATAGTTCTAATTGTCCCTCTTTTCTAACCCCACTGTATTTGATCTCTCAACAATCTTATTTTTTTAAAGATTTATTTATGCATACATGAGCTGGAGTATAGGCCAGAGGTACAGGGGATGAGAGGATTCACCAGACAGAGTGGGGAGCAGAAACAAATGGACCTACCAAAATACAAGGCTGAGGGGAGCAGTGGGCAAGACAAGAGAGGTCTGCTGCACCATGTGGGTAGCTCCCTGGCCAGCGGGGGATTGAACTCATGCTGCAGTGGCTGGTGATAGCTTCATAGCACTGTGTCTTTAACCCCTGCACCACCAGGGAGGCCCTGCATGCATTAAGGCATGCAATTATTTTTATATACCTTACAGTTTTTTGTTCCATGGCATTAGGAACCAAACTTGTTTTAAAATAGTAACCATTCCCCCTACCCAGTAACAAGTAACATTATTGAATGCTTACTTTATTTTTTGCAACTTCATAGTTCCTTGTAGAAATTAAATATCCATATTATACAACAATTCCACTCTTAGGTATTTACCCAGAGGACACAGAATTGTTAATTCAAAAAAGCACCTGCACCCCTGTGTTTATAACAGCACTATTTACAATAGCTAAGCTATGGAAACAACCCAAATGCCAAAAAAATAGATGACTGGATCAAGAAGATGTGGTACATGTACACAATGGAATATTACTCACAAATCAAAAAATATAAACTGATGCAATTTGCAGCAACATGGATGGAGCTGGGAGGGATCATGCTCAGCAAAGTAAACCAGAAAGAAAAAGAAAAATACCAGATGGTCTCACTCATAGCAGGAATTTAGAAAAGCTAAATAAGGGACCAGGAAAAAGACTAATTATAATAAAGTAAAAATCAAAATCAACAAGCAACTATAAACCAGAGACACACTATGGGTGGGGGAAGGGAGGAGAGATTAGGGTCAAAATAAGGGGGGTGGAATTGTATGGGGACTATAACCAAGATGGAAATACATATATTGTGCAAAAATGAAAAATTATGTAAAAATATATATAAAATAAAATATATTTAATAAATAAGTATAATGTTATGAATGCCCCCATGTGATTGGTGGTCCTATTACAGAGGAAATGGGGCACAGAGTGAGTATTCATCTTGCTTGACTTAAGATTTTACCTCATTTGGAAAACAGTCTAGGATGGTGTCACTCCAGATTCAGACTCAATTACTATGAGTTAATTATGGAAGAAAGAATGTGCTAGAAACAAAATACAAGTAATGAAAAAACTAAAAAAGAATTACAAGTAGTCCTGTTGATCAAAATGCACTGTCAAACATATTTAATGTCTAGAATCACATGCTTCCCCTAGAATCAGGAAAATGCCTTTGATTTTAGGCATCTACATCTACAAAGAATATCTCTAGGCTAAGGTTTACCATAAAAATACCTGGAAATTAAGATTAAATTAAATAAACAGACTTGGTTGTTTTATTATTATTACTTTGTATTTAATACTGGTGTTTTATTGGGTCTTATCCAAAATTGATGTGTGTAAAGTGAATCACCAGCCAGTACTTTGGGGTATACATCTTGTGTATGAGTCTGTCTGTTTTTGTATAAGTGTATAAGTGACTTTTTTAAAAAACATAAACCACTGGAATATGTGTTCTTCTACTTTAAGGGGCAAAGGACCACTAAAGCATACAACTGATGTGATTTATGCTGCTAAAATGATATCAGAATCAGGATCAAGGATGGATGTCCTCGCTCGGCAGATTGCAAACCAGGTGAGTTCTCTACAAATGAGTGGTGAAAAGTCATGATAATTGTTCTGCAGATCAATACTGATTAGAGCAAAGTTGAATTTTTACTTTATTGGTTCAGTTTTTCCTAAATTACTATTGAATTATATTTAATTTGCATTGTATAATTAATATACAAGAAGTGGACAGTTCATTCTAATTAAGCTTATTTTCTTAGGATTTAACATTATTTCTTTTATTACTATTTAGGATTCAATTGCTTTTAGATTTTGAGCTTCAAATATCTTCATATATATTCAAATTATTTTAAATATCAAGTTTTGGAGTTTCAGATATATTCAAATTATTTTAATTATAAGAACTAATGTTAATATTTTCCCCTAAATACCTTAAGTTTCTTATTTTTGTTCTTCAGAAATCAACATTATTTAAAATTCTTTTGTTAGTTGTTCTGTCCTGAAATTCTATATAAAATGGTAAAGCAAATAGTGATTAGTAGAAAACCAAAGTGAAGATATTGAGGAAGTGTACAAAGGAAATACTTGAAGACAATGATGATAAAATTTTCTTAACACTTAATTTTTTCTTTCTTTTTTTAATTAAGGTATAATTGGTTTACAACACCGTATATGATTCAGAGGTATAGAAACACACTTTTCCAGATGTATTAGCACAGCACACTCACCATCAAGGCACCCAGAGTCCTCTGTCATAGTCCATTTCTCCCTTACTATACCCTGCTCTCCACAATTCCCTCTGGTCACCTCAGGGCCACAATCAGACTTCCAGAGTTCTTATTGGCTTGGTTCTGTCTAATCATTTGTTTTATTTCTCTTTATTTCACAAATAAGTGAAATTTTCTGGTGTTTGTCTTTCTCCTTCTGACTTATTTTATTCAGCATTATCCCTTTCAGTTCTATCCTTGTGGTTGCAAATGCCTAGAGTTCATCTTTTTTTATACCTGAGCAGTAATCCATTGTGTATATATACATCTTCCTCATCTAGTCATCTGTTTTTCTCTCACATTGGAAAGAATTTTTCTTTATAAATTTGCAACTATTTGGTATTATTTACAGCTTTTATATTTTGAGGGAAACTTTATTGTGCTGTTAGTATTATCACTCCTTTTATCCTCTAATACTTGGAACATGAAGTACTTTTTTTCTATTAGATACTGGATTTCTGTATATGGGAAGAGAAACCTGTAATAATAATGAGACAGGTATTTTAAAAATCAATTTCAGTTGCTTGCTACTTTAAGCATCATAAACATTTTATTAATCTTTTTAGTATTTAGCATTTATAGTTAAAAATGAGTGTTGTCATACTATAATTCATAATATACTGGGAATAAATGACTGAAGCCCAAATCCCCCATGACTTTCCATACTTCACAATTTTATTGCATACACTTTTATGAGAAAGACTAAATAATAGTGGCATAATAAGTAAACCCATAATGCATTGGACAGATTTATGTGCACTAATAACTTTTAAAATACTTAATGATTTGTACCAGCGTGCCTCTGTTTATTTAGGACTGTATAATTTTCAAAGTTCAAATAAATTTTGTGTCTCTTGGAAATATTTTTTCTTACACTGATATTCTTTAATTGGATCAGATTCCTTGTACTAGACACTTTTATACTATAGGTTAGTTAAGTTATGCCTTTGTTTTTAGCATTATTCAGATTGCATAAGAGGAAGGAAAAGTATTGTCTCACTTCCATCTAATTTTATATCTATGGCTATGACTGTATTTATGCACTACTTCTGATATTGGCTAAAAATATTAAAACTTTAGATGGGAAATAATATTTGAAATTGATTGTGGAATACAATTGAATAGTGTAAGCAATATGATTTTGATCAGTGTCCACATATATTATGAAAATAATCTGCCAGAACAGTGGTTGCTTTCTATTTTTTTTTTTTTTAATTTTGTTTATTTATACGAGCACCGGGTACAGTCAGAAGCGCGGGAGGGTGAGAGAATTCACCAGAGCCAGAGCTGGGAGCAGAACAGTCAGAAGGACCAAAGTACACTGCTGAGGGGAGCAGTGGGTGCGGCAGGAGAGGTCTGAGCGCCATGTGGGATCCTCGCCAGCAGCCGGGAATCGAACCGGTGCTGCAGAGGCTGCGGGCAGCTTTGCAGCCCAGCACTCAACTGCTGCACCACTGGGGAGGCCCTGGTTGCTTTCTGTTATAAATTGTTTTATAGTTCCAAAAATTTAAATACTTTTTTAATGATGCTTTTCAGTCTGATTTTTACTAAGGTGTTAGAAGGTCAAACATTAGTGACTTTCAATTCTACCCAAGAACCTGATATGTTGGGGGGAAGTGTGTGCGTACACACACGTGCATATACTCTTTCTCTATATATATACACATACATATATGTGTGTGTATATATGGATTATTATATAGTATTATATGTATATAATATATAGTAATATATAGTAGTGTGTGTGTGTATGTATATAGATTTAGTCCAATTTACTTTCATTTTGTAAACTTTCAGAGCTCATGTAATGAGAACAAAATGAAATCACAGTAACTGAGGTCTCCAATTCTACCTGCCTGGATTTTTTTTTCCTTTTTAAATCTTTTCCCCTGAATTGTTTCTTAAAACAAATGATTATTGTTTGTAACCACATACAGTTCATTGTTCTGGTATTGTCATTATCTATCTAGAAAAAGATATATTAAAACCTTCTGTTTTAACACCAAGAACCCTAATATTAGCTTATTATCCTCATCACCTAACACCTAATCACCTAACAACTTAAAATTGTGTTGAGATGGTGTTTTGGATTATAAATCCCATTCAAGACCATGTTTTCTAAGTCCTGTGGAATTCTAGTGTCAATCTTGACTTTATTGTGCAGTATAATAATAAAGGAGAGGAGAGTATATTGTTAGCAATCACACTTCTTAAAACTTTGTGTCATGAATGAAGAGAATAACATGTTAGAGAATAACCCTGCCTACAAATTCAAGATTCCAGACTCTTGGTATATAGATTTTTCTTTTCCTCAATTCTATACTGTAATTCATTATGTTAGCAGATATTTTAAATTAGATGAGTTAGATAACACCTCACAAGGTAGGAATAATACACAGAAAGTTCTCAATGATAGAGGCAGTATACTCCAAATAGGAAAAAGATGAATAGGAGCCAAAATAAAATTAACATCAGTTAAAGTGGTTTGCACAAGGAAAAGACAAAATTAGACTTTCTGACCCTTGGATTGTAGGTCTGAACCCGAATATTCCTTCTTTGTAATTTTACCAAAGCAAAGATATCCAGATCATTAATTGGGTATTAATCAAAATCACTTACTAAAATCAAAAGTGAACATGATTTAAATACATTTTCAGTGTTAATACTGAAGCAAATGCTAATTTAAGAAAAGATGACATTTTAAAACAAGATAGAGTTATAAGTCAAGTCATAAACAATTCACTCAACTATGAACAAGCAACCTACAAGCATAATTTATATGATATTTCAGTAAGATATTGTCAGTAGCTAGCCTCATTTGAATTGATTCCCTGCTGATTTCATGAAAATAAAAAAAATTATTATGATATAACTATACTAAAAAGAAACTTCTGAAGCATGCATTATATCATTCTTACATATATCTTAAGCATATAATTTCTAAATACATCTAGTAAAAATATTTGTATTTTGATACTATTATCTCTAAGAAACCTACCTGAAACAGATATTGATACTACATTTACCCTCCAGATTACTTTATAAAAAGTAAAAAAGATTTAAAAAAGTGAAAAAAAGATTAGTCCCTACTTTATAAAAATAAAGGCACAGAAGATTCTCAGGAAATAAGGATATGATAGATACAGAAAATTTGACCTGTTGGCATCTTAAAATAATAGTCTCCAGTTTAAAGGCATGCTATATTACTGTCAGAAGAAGAAAGACAAATACCATATGATTTTATGCATCCCACATATGTGGGATATAAAGAAATAAAGCAAAGGGATACAAAATAAGATAAAGCGAACCTCAGAAGCCTGACTACAGAATTGAATATACCAGATGGGGAGGCTAGAAGGTAGGGAACAAGGAAGTAAGGAGGCCAATGGGTGACTATGAAGGATTATTGGGGCATTAGTTGTACATGTGCTGTGGTAACATTAATCTAAAGAGATGTGAACCTTTACTCCTCAATTATATATGGTATTATAAACCAACTTTACCTCAATAAAAACAATACAATTATATGAAAAAACAAAGTACATGTTTCTCAGTGTTTTCTCAATGTCTGTGAGTCCAAAATAAATTAAATCAAAAAATGAATTAAAAACAATTCTAAAAGAAGTTATGTTTAGTCTAAATAGGAAGATATGAGTAAATTTGAATAGCATGTATGCTTTATTGTGAAACAGAATTAAAATAGATCAGTTTTTTAAATATACCTCTCACAAGTTAGCATGGCCGGTCTATATATAGGAGTCAGTGTTGTCCTCTATGAGTCACAAGAATTTCAGTGAATTTCTAATGATACTTTCCTGGATACCTTTTCAAATCTGTGTTTTAGAAACTTCAGCTTGCTAAAGCTAGCAGTGATAGATAAGGAAAGCAGCATTCTTGTTATGAGATTTTTAAGTATTAACAATTTCAAATTAATTGCAGGCCTAATTTAACAGATGGGAGCAGGAAAGAAAGGTTTTCATTGAGATAGTAATAGGAAGAGAAAAATATGGACTTTATAATAGGCAAGTATGAGATTTATGAGTATGAGCTATACAGAGTATGAGATAGTTGAAAGTTATGTTTTAAGTATGAATTGCTGATGAGACAATGAGATGAGCAAGCAAGTGCAACAGGTGAATGGATCTTTGCAAGACAGCACTAGATAATAGAAATTTAGTCATTTCAAAATATTTTAGATGCTTTGGTCAAGAGGAAACAAATGGCATTACAGGGTTGAGGGGGGATTTTTGGACATTATGTTGACAAATTCAAGCATGGAAAAAGGAGACATTAAAAATGAAAGAAAATAATAAATGAAATAAAGAGAAACCAAACCAAGAACCAGAGAAAGGCAAACTTAAAAACTAGCCCTGGAAAATGGACTAAAGAACTGAAGCAGCCAAAGGTGGGGGGTGGGCAGAGGAAAGGGAGAAAGGAGGGTAGGAAGCAAGAGGGAAGAAACACAGTGTTATGGTGGTGGACTATGGGTGATTTGGTGGTGGGCGCACTACAGTGGTGATACCTGATAGAGAATGTTGCCACAATTAATAATAATAATAATATAATAATAATAATAATAATAAGATGGGATAATTGATGATCTGTGACCCTGAGAGGGCTGAAATGAGACATCACCTTGGCTGAAGTACAGGTAGAATTGGGCTCCATAAGAAGGGGAAAGGTAATGGACACTGACTGCTTTTTCTGTCACTGATTGCTTGAAATTTATATTCTAGATATTCAAAATGATACCTCACACTACCTGCTTAACAGAATTTACACTGCTGTCTGTAATTGCTAAAGTTATTTTAAATGTGTCTTAAATAAAATTTATTCTGTAATATAATCAAAAATATTAATAGTTAAGCTTATGGAATAAAGGTATTTGAAAGTATTCACTTTGCTAACTCACTCTTAAAATTTAAACTGAAAGGTAATAATGTTTTGTTTTTGTTTTTGCTTTTCCTCTCATTACTAAATGATGTATTCTACTAGTACCAAGTACCTTACTAGAAGAGTGAATGATAGATTTTACGTAAGAAGGCACTTCAGTGGACACGCCATCTGCGCACATATAGTGAATGGACTGATAGTTAGAAAACTTAAAAAAAAAAATCAGTGCATTAAATATCAAACCAAATCTTATAGTTAACATCTCTTATCTTAATAAATGGGAAATATAATTGACAAAAAATCAGGGCAAGACTTTTATATAAATTTTCCTATCACCCTCATGTGAGAATATGAAAGTTTGGATAATCATTACTTGATTTTAATAAAGGAAGTTTGCAAATAATAGAAAAGCATTCTTAAACTAGGAATGATTCACTCTCCTGATTCTGCTTTTAGGCAGCCAAAACTGACTCAGAAAGGCTTTTCATATGCCACTAGAAAAAACTGCATTTAATAAATTTTATAGCATGGAATTTACCAATTAGATGTTTTCTATTTCAGCTTTAAAATTAGCTTCTTTGGGCCTCTCCGGTGGTGCAGCGGTTGAGCTCTGGGTTGCGAAGCTGCCGGCTGCTCTGCAGTGCCGGTTCCATCCCCGGGCGCTGGCCAGGGTCCCACATGGCACGCAGACCTCTCCTGCCACCCACTGCTCCCCTCAGCAGTGTACCTCCGTCAGTCTGCCTGTTCTGTTCCCCACTCTGGCTCTGGTGAATTCTCTCACCCTCCCGTGCTTCTGACTGTACCCAGTGCGTGTATAAATAAATAAATCTTTAAAAATAAAATAAAATTAGCTTCTTCCATCTTTCAATGTAGTCAAAAATCTCATCTGTTCTGGAATGAAGGGGGAATCTAGGTCAAGCAACTTTTTATCTCAAAAAGTCAACTTCTAATTTTTGCACTTGATTCATTCTTAAAAGATATCTGGACTCTTCTTGTATAACCTTGCGATAATATCTTGAGAGAGACTACATATTTTGCTTCAGCTTGGATGATTGTAACATTGGTTATTCATTGAGAATTTAATTGTTCAATAGGAGTTCAAATACTAAACATACTTAACTTTAGCTCTAGCATAAATTCTTCAATCCTGAAAAAAAAATGATCTTTTCTAAATTTCTCATTTACCACTTATAAATTAAGGAAATCTCTTCCTCCCTTTCTTCCTCTTCCTTTTCTTACCTCTCTTTCTCATCTTTCTCACTATATTTTTCTATTTCTTTTTTGTCCTCCTGTGCTTCTACTCTTTTATTTAACATTTAGTCCTTTTGATGAGATTTGGAAGTTTGCTCTCATTTATTTAAAAATTTGAACCACAGGACCTCACTGGTGGCACAAGGGGTTAAGCACAGCACTATGAAGAAGTCCACAGCCTCTGCAGCAAGAGTTCAATCCCCTGCTGGCCAGGGAGCAACCCACATGGTGAAGCAGACCTCTCTTGTCTCGCCAACTGCTCCCCTCAGCAGTGTATTTCAGTCAATCTGTCTGTTCTGTTCCCCACTCTGTCTCTGGTGAATCCTCTCACCCCGCACCTCTGGCCTGTATCTCAGCTCTTGTATACATAAATAAATAAATCTTTAAAAAAATTGAAAAATACTCCTAGTATCAAGGTTTCTTATCTTGTCTGAGAGTCCATCTGATTATCCATTCACATGGCCATGCTCCTCTAGCAGATTGTTACTATTTCTGCTTAAGAATGTATTTCTGTGCTACCTTTGTTGATTAACTTTTATTCAAATGTTACACGTTCTCACTTGTCCACACATTCTGGAGATATACAGACTAGTCTAATTAGTAAATATAAAATAAATAAGATTCCCAGTAATTTTCCAACAAAACTCCAGCTTGTTAATTGCTAGATAAAAGCAGAAATGCATAGAATTCTTTCTGATCATTTTTTCTTCCTTTTAGTGTATATTTTAGACCATTAGAATTAAGATTTTTTGATAATAGCATTTTTATAATTATAGAAGTTACATTTAAAGATAAATGAATATCATTATGATATGATGTTTATAATTTTCATATATGTAATTCCTGGTATATTTTAAACACAAGTATATATTTTCACATAATTTTGTTGAGATATACAAAATTCTAAATACAAAATATGTTTTACCTTCCAAAAAGCATTTTCCCAGATCCATTGAAAATATTGTTTTTGTGAGATAATATAATATTACATAGATATATTCTGATTTAATCTTGCCAGTAATCTAGGACATTTTAAGCTATTTTCAATTTTTGCTATTTTTCAGCAATGAGTATCTTTGTATATAAATAACCATATTTCAACATCTTTGTGAAAATATATTTAAAGTGAAAAATTAGGCCTCCCTGGTGGCAAAAGGGGTTAAACACAGCACTATGAAGCAATCCTCAGCCTCTGCAGCATGAGTTTGATTCCCAGCCGGCCAGGGAGCTACCCACATGGTGCAGCAGACCTCTCCTGTCTCGCCCGCTGCTCCCCTCAGCAGTGTACTTCGGTCTGTCTGCCTGTTCTGTTCCCCACTCTGTCTCTGTCCTATACCCCGGCTCTTGTATGCACAAATAAATAAATCTTTAAGAAAAATGAAGTGAAAAATTATGTTTGTAGATATGTAAAAAAATCCTATTATGGTTCTATAGGAAAAAGAGCACAAAGATTAAACGCTAACCACACATTATCACTGTGTTATGCTGAAGTTTGAAACTGTCCTCCAGGAAGTTCCTTCCAAATGATAATAAGTGTAAGACAATATTCTTAGTAGAGAAATGCAATGTATCTATAAAACATGTATGCTATCTATTTCTTGGCTCCAGATGTTATCTAAAATGAAATTATTTCCTTTTGTATATAATAGCTACAAATATTAGATGCTCAAAATAATAGAACATAATATATGTATTGTTGAAGGTATTTTTATGCTCCTTTAAATAACATAGGACAGACATTGCAGATCTGCTGGTCCTGATGAGTATTCTAGGACAATTTGAGGGGAAGGGAATATTTGCATTTAAAATATCTCTTTAGGGCCTCCCCAGTGGCGCAGTGGGTTGAGCGCAGCGCTGTGAAGCTGTCCGCAGCCTCTGTAGTACCATTCGATTCCCGGCCTGCCAGGGAGATTCCCACATGGCACAGCAGACCTCTCCTGTTTCGCCCGCTGTTTCCTTTAGCAGTGTGTTTCAGTCAGTCTGCCTGTTCTGCTCCCTGCTGTGTCTCTGGTGAATCCTCTCACCCTCCCGTGCTTCTGGCCTGTACCCCAGCTCTTGTATAAAAATTAATTAATCTTAAAAAAATTCTCTTTTGGGCCTCCCCGGTGGCGCAGCGGTTGAGCGCTGGGTTGCGAAGCTGCCCGCGGCCTCTGCGGCGCCGGTTCGATCCCCGGCTGCTCCCCAGCCACCAGAGGAGGGTCCCACATGGCGCGCAGACCTCTCCTGCCGCCCGCTGGTCCCCTCAGCAGTGTACTTTGGTCCTTCTGCCTGCTCTGCTCCCCGCTCTGGCTCTGGTGAATTCTCTCACCCTCCCGTGCTTCTGACTGTACCCAGTGCATGTATAATCAAAACAAACAAACAAATAAATAAATAAAACATGCCTCTATAAAAAAAAAAAAAAATTCTCTTTAGAACCAGAGACACACTATGGGGAGGGTGGGAGGGACTAGGATCAAAATAAGGGAGGTGGGAATTGTATGGAGACTATAACCAAAATGAAAATGCATACATTATGCAAAAATGAAATGATGTAAAAATATATAAAATGAAAAAAAATGAAAAAAAACTCATTAGATTTGCCTTAAAATGTAATTTGAATGTTCTAATCTTATCAAAATTATTTTATATTCTTTTTCTTATCGGGAAATTCATTTAGTATTTCTTTTGATAATGCTAATTCTGTTATGTTTGAAACATGAACAAACTCTTCTAATAGCTGAAGCATATCAAAATCTACATGGACCTAGACTGTGAAATAAAGCTCAATGAAATTAAACTTGCTGCATTCTAAGTTACCTGCATTGTCAATATTCAATCTGATCTGCTTATTATTGATTTTGCTGTTCCCATTTTCATCTTTTATGAATATTTAGTGTCCAGATCCGTCATGCAAGCAGGATTTATTGGCCTACCTGGAACAGATTAAGTTCTACTCTCACCAGCTGAAAATCTGCAGTCAAGTTAAAGCTGAGATCCAGAACCTGGGAGGAGAGCTCATCATGTCAGCTGTGAGTAGTGCCTGACATTTTATCCATGATATGTGGAAGATGCTTGAAACAAAAGATTCCCCATCCTCACCCCACCAATCTTTTAATTCCATGCAGAAAAGAAGAAACACAATGTAGGTGTATAAAAACATCATGCAATGAAGCTATCATGAAATTTGCCAGATTTCTTAAAGAAATGTTGTCAGTACAACTTGTTTTTAATTACTTCAGGGACTTTTAGAGTGAATAAGGTGTTGTAAGCACTTGGATAAGAAATGAATGTTAATTTAGAGCATAATCTTCAGACTTCAGATAGTACACAGAAAAAACTCTAAATTGAATCTATAATTTTAATAAAACAAAGGCACAAGGGATTGCAAATTAATAAGAATAATTGCCTTATTATTATGAATTGGCACACATTTCCCTATTATTAATTTATATGTAACAGATGTTCTAGTCTTGAAAACTTTTATTTCCATATGTAATTATAGAATTGAAGTATGACAGAGCATTATAAATTTAGAGGGACTTTCATAAATTCTTCGGTGACCCTAAGTTTTAATCTACTATAAATTGACCATGGTAGAAATAATGTCTAATATTCTACTCCTCTTTTAATAACAGTAGATCATTTCTCTAGGTTGGGGATGATAATAAAATGGTATTTGATATCTATATTGGGTTTAGTTATCAGTGACTTTGAGAAGGACATGGAGCAAGATTATAAATTTAAGTTAAATCCTGAACATTAAGTGAAACATCTGAACATTCTAGGAACTTACATTCATTACATACTTTAGTTTTTAAAAAATTATAAAAGCATACTTATAAGTTTGTAGCATCTAAACATCTCTATATTTTGACATTGGGTTTACTCTCAGTGAACTAAAATTTTTAAAAAGAATGCAGTTGCAAAATTTTAAACAATTAATTACCAACAATGGTCGAAGATAGGGAACTAATCCTAACTATCTCTTGCTTATGTTTCCTCTCATTTAGTCTTCACAATAGCATAATAAGTAGATTATTTATTTGCTAGTTTTATTTTTTAATATTTGAAAAATTAAATTCAGAAAATTTAAATAATTTCACCAAGGTCATGCTAGTAAATGTCACAACTGGACTTTATCATAAAGGTCTATCTTTCACTCTCAGGAAAATTTTAATATATAATGAAACTTAAGGGTATAAACTAAAAGTGAATAATTTGGAAATATGTATAGTCATTATTAGAGATAAGGGCTTGATTTCCTTGATATTCAAATTTTGCAAAAGCACGAAGCACTACTTGTGTAATATTGGCATCTCATCACTTTTTAAAGGAAAATGTAGTACATATGGATATATACACAGATACATGCATAAATACACACAGCATATACATATGTACACATATTCAAATGTGTATTTAAATATTGTATCTTTATTTGAACTTTTAGACATTTTCCTTTATTTAACATTTTACTACTTTAAATGTGTAAAAATATATTCATTTGGAGACCCAAATCTTCTTCTGTTTACTTTTCTCAATTCACATACTCACCATCATTTACAAGGCCTATATCATTACGAATTTTATTTTACAGTTATATGCTTATGCTACTGGTTCATGTTATCTGAGCTAAGCTTTCAAAACCCAGGTAAAAGTTCAGCTTATACAGTACTCCTAAAACACATTATTGTTAATTGTCCCTCTAAAATATAATTTCCTCCAGCTGTGTAAATTGAGTTTGAATTCTTTCCTATTTGGTATGATTCAAATTCATGAACTTTACATGTTTTACAGATAGAATAGGTGGAAATCATTTAAATTCATGATGTATAATTTAAAAGCTGAGTCACTGTGCAAAGTAAGGAAGAGTGTTACAAATACAAAACTGTTTATCATTAGTTCACCCACAATTTCCCTTTAGTAAAAATAAATCTGAAAAAGGAGAATACGCACTTTTACATGCCTTGCATCTGCTTATAGAGATATCCTGGAAAACTTTTTAAATGCATTTAATTTATGTGTGCTGAAGCATGCTTGCTTTAATCTCTTAGTGACCCTGTGTTTTTATGTCCTCTAAATTGATAAGGTCTCTCTGAGTGTACTGTCAAGAATGGACACAGTGCAGGTTTTCTTTTTCTTTTCTTTTTTTTTTTTTTCAGTGCAAGTTTTCTATGATCCCAGCAGACCAGGGTAAAGGAGGAGAGAGTCCTGGAGCCCTCAGTGGCTTTTGCAGGCTTTTATGGGGGGATTTACCAGGTACATGGCAGGCAGGGGTACTGCGGCCCAGGAGGCTGGCAGGCCTCCCAGCCCCCCAGCAAGTCTTCACTCTGGGCTCTCTGGCATTCTCTGGGGGTTTCTGCTGTTCTGCTCTTTCACACTTCTGCTTCTCTGCTTCTTCGTTTTGCTTTCTTGGCTTCTCCTGGCATCCCCATGATGCCACCCTTAACAGCCCAGTCTTAGCCCAGGTGAATCCTATCTACATATGCCCACACCCTATTCCAGGTGCCCGCCATCAGGCATGCATTCAAGACCGCAGACCCGTCATCTGTCCTAATGGTGGGAGGGCAGAAAAGCCTGATACTTTTACCTTACCCTACACTGAGTCATCATTTTTTCTATGAGGTTTTTTGAAAAGCAACAAATATGATTGTAATATAGGGACATTCATTAAAAATTACAGAAGTTTGATATTCAAAACTACAGAGCAAAGATTGAGTTTCCAAACCATGTTCATGAAGCATTACTTTTGGCAAATGCATTTGGTGAAAAAGAAGTAAGTATGAATGGAATGCATTTCTACAGTGAATGGACACAAGTTATTAGGATTTAGGATAAAGAAGGTAAGTGCATAGCATAAAGGAATTTGAAAACCATTTTGAAAATTTAATTATAATTATTGCTCAGTCATTCTTGAATTTATCCTGAAGTTACATGTTTTATTTATAAGGAAAAAAGAGTGGTTAGTTGAAAACCTCAAATATGAACTCAATATCCTGACTGTTCCAGGCTTTGTAGAATATCTTGAAAATGAAAAGCTGACTATATAGTGGCTCTTTTTTTTTTTAAAAAAAAAGATTGATTGATTGATTGATTGATTGATTCAAGCACTGGGTACAGTCAGAATCGAGGGAGGGTGAGAGAATTCACCAGGGCCAGAGCGGGGAGCAGAATAGGCAGAAGGACCGAAGTACCCTGCTGAGGGGAGCAGCGGGCATGGCAGGAGAGGTCGGCGCACCACGTGGGACCCTTGCCAGTGGCTGGGGATCGAACCAGCACTGCAGAGGCTGCAGGCAGCTTCACAGCCCAGTGCTCAACCGCTGTGCCACCAGGGGAGGCCCTATAGTGGCTCTTTTAAGAATCTTACGTCTATATAAATTTAAGATACATAAATTATAATTAAACATACAAAAATGACTCCAAAGCACATCACATTATAATGTGATGTGATATACAGTAAAGAGTGTACAAAAACACAGAGGTAAGGGAATAATTAATTCCAATGATGTGGCATGTGGGCAAGAGAAAGCTTCATATGTGATTTGGCTCTGATTTAGGACTTGATTAATGAATGAAAAAGCAAATTAAAGGATATAATGAACAGAGGTAAATAGGACAGCTGAAATAAAAGAAATAGGGAAAGATGAGGAATTTTTTGGGAAATGGTATAATCTGATATGATAGAAGCAGCTGTTCATGTGTATGTATTGGGGGTGGGGGATAGAAGAGAAGTTGCAAACAAAAAATGATGCTATTTCAAAAGATCATTGTAACATTTTAATTTTACCCTGTAGACAATGGAGAGAAATTAATTTGAAATGGGAATAAGTAAATCTAGGAACTTAGAAGTTATCAGTGATGATAGTTTGGAAAGAAGGAGAACTATAGGTTAAAATTTAGAAATAAAATTTAAAAACTACTCCAAGATTGTTATTGTGAGATTAAGGCCATATTGGTAGACTGTAGACAAGTGTGTTATACACATATAAGGAAAAAAGAATTCTTGTATACGGATACAAGAAACAAATATTGAGCTAATAGTTCTTATAACCAATGATATATTGAATGCTGAAGATGAAGTTGTTGGGATTTGGTAGGTTGTTTTTTTCAGCAGTGACATCAGTAACTACAAACAGAGCAGATAGGAAGGATAAGGCAACTCATTCATGGCTTGCTTGTTGAATTTAGGTGACCCTGGGGCATCCAAAAAGAAAAATCTAGTTTGTATTTTTTTAAGATTTATTTTTTACTTATGCATACAAGAACTTAGTTGAAGGCCAGAGGGGCAGATAGGTGAGAAGATTTATCAGAGACTGAGTGGGGAGCCGAACAGGCAGATCTACTGAAATACACTGCTGAGGGGAGCAGCGGGCAAGACAGGAGAGGTCTGATGCACCATGTGGGCCAGGGATGGAACTCATGCCACAGTGGCTAGCAATAGCTTCATAGTGCTGGGGTTTTAACCCCTGCACCACAAGGGAGGGTGGCCCCAGAAAAGTCTAGTTTTTAGAACTCAGGAGAGAGGTATGGAGAGGAAGTATATAGAACCATTCACTAATAGTATATTGGATAAGACAAAAAAAAAAAAAAGAGAGAGAGAAAATGATCCCAGAAGAATATTTTCCTTAAATACAAGTAATTTGGATATGCCTATTTTATATACAAAGAATTGAATGAGGCATTTTTAAAAAAAGGGAATTTACTCTCCATGGAAAATTTGTGAGAATGGATAATCCAGGATGGGTATAGCAGCTTCATAAAGTCATCATGCAATCAGTCATTATTGTCTTTCTACTTAATTTCCATGGTCTCTGGCTTTCATTTTTATTAAGGTAAAAATGTGCTTTCTCTAGTTCTAAGCCATGACTTTTATAATCCAGAGAATGAGAATGAAGAGAAATAAAAGCAAACAATAATTGCCTCTTAGAAGTTGCTTTCAAATTTGTTGTTTATACATTATTGGCTCAAACTTAGTCATTTAACTTTACATAACTGCAAGGAATATTGGAAAAGTATGCTTTTTTTAATT